TCAGAGAATTCGTGCATGACTGTCATTAGCAGTTTGGTTAGTCTTGCATGTTTCCAGCCGTCTTTCAGCCCTGGATTTTAGTCAAGAATCTAAATGTACTTTTCTGAACTTCTGAATATTTTAAACTTGGTTTTCATACCAAGTAGGAATAAAGAGTTGAGATAATCCAATTCTGCATTAAATGGAAAATGCTAAAACCTTTGAAGATACTAAACCATCTTGTTTCTACATATTTGATTTAGAAAAAAAGTTGTCAGCATTCTTAAACTGAACTTATTTATTTTACTTTGGTGACTTTGCCTCATACACTGGATAAACTGAAGGTCTCCCATAAACCTATTTCCACCTCCAAGGTTATTCCTTACTGATTAGATCTGGCAATCAGTTTGCCTGTACCTGTGCTTTTCAGTGAAGCAGTCAGAAGAAAAGAGGCCCTTACTTTGTAAGGAACCTTGTATCTGTCTCCTACCCTGCAAGTTTTGTTCAGCTCATGTTGCTTGGTGTGCATCTCTGCACAGGGGACAGGCTGAGGAAAATTTCCTGCGACCTTCTGGCCAATTGCACTAATGACCTTGGACTCTGTGAAGTGTTAAAGTAGACAGGGGAGAAAATGGCTAAGGAAACATGTTGCATACTGTAGGAAATATATTGTGACTCTTTGTACTTGTTAACAAGTTTGGATCAGGTTTATAGCTAGTTCCACTGGGCTATTCCACCCCTGCATTTTGTGTAAAAGGAGAAAAAAGATTTTAGCAAAATGAAGAAAGCTGTAGTGTGGGTGGACCCCACCACACTCAACCTAAGAGCAATCCCTTTTCTAAAGTATGCTAACTGAGTACAAAATTATGCTTATTTCATTTTGGTATTCTTGAGTACAGTCTTAATTCCTTGGCACAGAATTTATTTATTTTTAAGGGACAGAAAACAAATTAACACATCTGTGTATGCGTAAGTAGGCCAAGGCTTCAAGTTTTTACTACATATCTCTTGAACTAGCTTATTTCCAGATGAATTACTTTTTCTACTATTCTTGTGTCTAGTGATCATCTTTATTTGGAGTAGATTTAGGTTCAATTTTAGTGGAAGAAAAAAGCTCTTTTCCTGCGCTAAAAAGGGTTTTGATTTTCACTTTTGTTGTGTTTGAATTAATGAAAAAAAAGAAAACCCAAACCAAAACCAGTTCTTAAGGTGCGGTGATGCTGAATTATGGTTCAAGTTGATAATTTTTGCAAGATGTGCAGATGAGCAGCAATGAAATTATTATTTAGATTTGAAAGTTTAAAGATCAGGGTTTCACCCCACAAACCACACGGCACAGTGGCACCGAGGAACCACAAAAATTCTGCTCTTAGGAGCTATATTCCTTTCACCTAGCTGTAAGTAGCTAAAAGATACTGCCCCTGGTGTGTTGTCAAGACCTCCACTGGTCCTGGGGTAAGCTGGGCATGCCTAGCTCCCAGTGTGTTCAGAGCTAACTCAGTTGTCATTTTTCAATAACTCCTGTATCCTGTAGCCCTTCTATTACAGGATATTGTTATCTGCCTTCTTTTTGCTTTAGAAAAGATGCATTGTCACTGTTGTCATAGAGTTAGGCTTTGAAATAGATTTCACAGAGTCTTCATGTGTCAAGATGAAGGCTGCAAATTATCTTCACAAGGAGACAAGTGAAGCTTTAAATATTAATATTGGAAGTTTGTTCTGAGTTGTCTAAGCATCAGAAGTTTCGTGAGTTTTTGTTAGGGTTGGAATTATCTCACTGGTAAAAATATGGCACAAATTTTGAAGAAGACATTTATTTAGAAAGCTTTCTGTAGGATCTGTGCTTCACTGAAATGTCTTTCTAGCTATACTTTCCCAGTTAATGATGTATAATGATGACTGAGAAACTTAAATATATGCTTTTACAGCTTCCTGTTCTCAAGCATATTGACCTTCATTTGCAGAGTGATTGAGACAAATTATTTGTGGGTTTATTTGAGTTACTTGAGAATGTTTAGCATTAAAAAGGATCCTGCTACAAGATGAGGGTCAGGCAGATTTAGCCGGGTAAGAGCATGTGACTAGAAAAAACTATAATTCTGAGGTGAAATGAAGAAGCTTCTATTTAATTTTTGACCATTGGGTCAGGTGACTCAGAAACAAACAATGATACATCAGGAAGGAAAATTATTATATCAGGCAGCAGCATGTGTTTCCCAGATTAGGCTTCTTGAGCAAAATTAGATTAAGATTTTCTTTCATCTTTCTAATTAAAATATTCTGCCCTTTTCATTGTCTTAGGTCATTGTTGATGAATGACAGAGGAGTGCCTTGACTGCTGCTTCCCAAATATAATTAAGTTTGATGGTTTTCAGTGGAAGAGATTATATATTTGCTGAATTTAAAGCAGCTGTAACAGAAACAGCAACCGCATATTTTTAAAGTTAAACTGTGCTCCTGCATATATTAGATTGGATAGGTTTGAATCTTTAATTTAAACATTTTTCTTTTAAATTTCCCTTCATTTTGTTGAGCTCTTTTGTTAAGATTTAAGATAACCACAAACCACAAGTAACTTCTTAGATTTCAATGCAAGAAGTCAACTGTATCTAATTAGTGGACTTCTGTTGTGTTGTGTGTTGGGAACATTCCTGCTCACTTAGGAGGCGATCTTTGCTCACTGAGTTATCCAGGCAGTTCCCAATAATGCTGGCTGCAGGGTGAGCTGCCTTTTGCACAGACAGAACACTAATATGAGCTTGATATAAAGGGTATAAAAGTGTAATTTTGCAGTGCAGACATCCTAGAGTTCATTTTGCTAATCAAAACCAGAGGAGTCTCCCAGAGCTTCAGTCTCTGTCAGAGTTAGAGTTTATGCTACTTAGATTCAATCCTATGCATGAAGAAAGTTTAGGAAAGCATATGTAAAAGTTAGGAGTTTCTTCCGTGTACTCTGAAAAGACTGACTGCTGACAGCACTGGGCATTTAACATTTGCACTCATGTGTTCTTGAGCAAGCAGTAACTCTACCTCTCCACCTGCAATGCTGTGTTTGAGAAGTTTGGCCTGTGTTTGTAGCAATCCTTATTATATTGAAAATTTACCTTTAGCATGTGTCCTTATGTACAAATTGTTTTCTGTACTTTGTCCAAGTGTAATGTACATTATTCACTCCGTGGTTCTAGCAACGTTCTCACAACCTTACTCTGCATGCGTGGAATTTATCACCAAATATGATCAGCAAAAATATTCACTTGAATTCGAGTGAATTCCTATTCACTTAATGGCAAAATAAGACAGTTTACGGTCAGAATTTGGAAGGAGTTGATACAAACCTTCAGTTACTACGTGGATAAAAAATGTAGGGACAGATGCCATTTCACAGACAATGGCTGAAAAGCATAGATATGCTTAACAATTTTCTATTAATAGCCTTTTCTATTTAAATAATTAAATGCCATGTCAGATGAATATTGGCTCTTTTCTTCTGTTATATTTTGCACATTGTTTAATTCTGAACAATAGACTCAGTTTTCACACCTTGCTAATAATATCTACTCTTTGTGCTTACTTTTTGGTTTGGACAATGACCCTGGATTTGTATCCCTTAAGTTGTTAATATGTGATCTATAAAAACAAGCAACATGGGAACCTCTAGACACTCTATGTATAAGTAGCTTTTTCATGAGCAGTCATGCTAAATGATTTTGTTTTCTTTGTTTTTTCTTTTTTTTTGGTATGGATATTTGTTCTTTTTCCTATGTACACCCCTGGTGGCCCCAAATGCTGTTCCCTTTCCTGGATCTACATAGCTCCCTTATTTATTGGTCCAGTTAAAGCACAGCTGTGCCCAATGCTGGTTTGCTATTTGCTGATGTGGGTCATTAGCAAATAAGGACTTTAGAGGAAAAAGGGGCATGACAGAATTTTTTTCTGTTATTCTGTTTCCACAGTATAGCCCAGCCACAAATTTTAATGAAGTTTTTGGGAATCTATTAGGGATATAGAAGTGACATACAAAAATTTTTAAAACTTTGAATAATAAAAAAGTATAAAAGACCCTGTCACTCAGAGTTGTTCATATGGAGCATTTTGGTTATTTAAGAAAAAAGAAAGAATAGTTGTAATTGATGATTTCATCATCATTTTATTGAACATTTTGAGAAGTTAGATACTGAAAGAAAGAAAGAAAGGTGGAAATTATCAAATCTGTAAACTTCAAATATGAAATGGGAAAAACTGGCCTTGTAAGCCAGTGACTCTACTTAAATATTCTCCTTTTTCCAGTGAAAGAGTTTTCCAGTCATAGTTCATAGGAAAGTAGACCTTTGAGTTGGGCACAATTTTTAAAATATATGGTCCAAATTAGCCTAAAAAGTGATCTGGAAAACTGAGCCAATGTAAAAATAAATACATTAAAAAAAAAATCAGAAAATTGATTTAAAATATTTTTTTTACCTACTCCATTATTGCCTATAAAGAAATCCTAGGTTTTTGGCTCTGCTGTCTCCAGGAATTACAACATGTTGTATTTTTTCCCCCTTCTCAAAACAAAAGAAGGAATTTTAGCTTTGAAGTTAAAAGCTCTTCTTTGTCTTGAAAATTCTATTTGAGTACTTTCTCAGTCCCCTAAAAGCCTGTATGTGTCTATTTTGCTTTTATATGTGGTACAATACCATTAAAATAATCAAAACATGAAGTTTAATATCCAACAATGGTTTTTGACAAGTTATTTTAGGTACTTTAACTAAATTTAACTTTAGCTAAGTTGTTCTGCATTGCTGTTTATTTCTCAAGAGTCCTTGAATACATATATTTTCTACTGTTTGTCATGAATAAATTACTTGCAGTTTTAGCCTGTTCGATAAAATTATAGAATATAAATTAAAGAAAGAACTAGAAAGTGAGGACATATCATTCTGAGAGACTGATCTAGATTTCTTGGAGATTTACTTTAGGAAATAATTATGGATTTATTTTTTCTTTATATTTTTAAATTTGTTTTTTATTTCTCTTTTCAGATGGAAGATGTCATAGCCCGCATGCAAGATGAGAAAAATGGGATTCCTATTCGGACAGTGAAAAGTTTTCTTTCCAAGATTCCCAGTGTCTTTTCTGGTAAGAGTCAAAGTGAATTTCATACTATTTTAGTTTTGTGTAAGGGGATGCTCTAGTGAAAAACATTTTTAAATAAGTACTGTCAAGAATTCAGAGTGATCTGATCTGGAGGAGACATTATTTATCCTTTGAATAGTTTAATTATAGAAGTCTGATGTTTCTCTCAGATTGGAGTGGATTTACACAGGGATGTTTTTGTCCTGAAAATTAGGTGAAGGGAATACTTAATTTGCTGCAAAAAGTTAATTATCTCAGACTGGGAATATTTTTATGGCAGGTCATATCTGATTTTTAGCCAACTTCCATAGCAAGTGTAAGTTTAGCGTGTTGGCCGGTACATGAAGATAAGAAATTTCATAGCAGCAGAACAAAAGAAAAATCATCACCACGCTTTGCAGCTGGTGCTGATCAGGAACTGTGACATTTATTACAATATTCATGATCTGCTTCTGCAGCTCAGTGCCTGTGCTTGTGAAACTAAGGTCTGAGATCTTTGTGGGGATTTGCACGACAGCTGTAAACTCTATAGCTGCTTTAGGTCAGTACAGTCATAGGCACAAAAATCTGTCTATTTATTAATTAGCATGTAATTCCTCTGCTATTTACATTATTTTATGACAATTTATGCATTTGTGTATGTGGGAATATACTCCATTGAGTATTGAGTTTCTTTGAAATAGATGCCATTTTTTAATCTAATTTTTCCATAATCTTTAGGAGCGTATCCTTGTACGGAAAGTATTATACAAGTTTCTACAGTCCAGAACACCAAGAAGAACTCTATATTTTAATTTTCAACCTGTGGAAATTTTTTTCTAGTGAATAATCCTGTCATAAAGAAGGATAGTGTCCTAAGAGTGAACAAAAGTGCTTCCTGATTTTAGAAAATAAATTTTAGATTTTAGAAACTTGAACAAAAAATAGCCTCTGGAGAATGGGCCTTTATTTGCCTGGAGTTGGTGCAGCATGGCATCTTATTGAAGAATTCACATTAGTTGTTAATCTCTGCCTTAACTTGTGTATAATAGATTTCAAAGTACACTGACCAAAATGTCTTTTTTCTTTTTTTTTTAAACTGGAATAGGCATCATACTTTTAAAGGTTGAGTTAGCACATATATTGAGTTCTACATAGTAGTTACTGATGTACCAACTTTTCTATTGATGCTTTAACTTTATTAGCTTCAGAGGGAAATAAAAATCATAGGACAGTTCATTTTTTTTTCTCTTTTATGATTTTCTGCCTTAAATACCAGGGAGTGCCAGTAATTTTTGCTACACATGACTGAAACTCCCACCAGAACAGCAAAACTGTCATTTCATTTCAACTAATCTACTTTCCTGTCAGTTCTCTATCCTGAAAGGAATCTGAAAGCTTCAACTCTATGTCCTAAGTCACCAATTTCATTTGATGTGCTAGGAGTTTGTATACGTAGCAAACAAATATCAGCTGAACTCAAAGCTGTTGATTGCTAGGAAACATGGGAATAGTGTCTAAGGGTCGCAACAACAATAATGCAAATACATTTACCAAAAACTTAGAGTACTGTTCATACTCTCAAAAGCATCAAAGTAGATGCTCTTCAGTTAAAATATATATATTTATATTTATATTTATATTTATATTTATATTTATATTTATATTTATATTTATATTTATATTTATATTTATATGCTCATATATTTTATATATATATATGTGTGTGTGTGTGTTATGTGTGTCTGTGCATAAAAGATGTTGTGTACACACCATTTGTCCTGGATTATGCCCCATAAATACGGGATCTTTGCAACTGTTTGGTATTGTTTTTTATGGGGAGAAGCAAAACAGATAATTCTACCACAGTGAAATGATATTCCTTCAAGCACTTAGGAAAGACTCTACAAGTCCTTTAAACAAAGTGTAAAAGCTAATGATGTCCATAAGTTGTCATAGGAATAGGGTCTTATGTGATATAGTTGTCATTGTTTTGTTACATATGTTTATGTAATCTACTTCTATTTCATAGTATTGCTTCTAAAAACAGCAAGTGATAAACTGGTTGAGAGTCCCTTTTTATTGCTAGTTTACTGACCATCTCTAAAGATGACTGCATTAGCAAAATCAGCCTGAGGTGTGGTATTTGAATTTCATGGAATGTTGTGATTGTAACAAATAGGATGATGTAACCATACTATCTCATTTACTGAGTCATTCCTGAAATATTTTCACAAGTAAAATATGAACAGTGAGAAACATTTGAAGTACAGATATTTCCCTATACATTATACAGATTTTTGTTCTTGAGAAAAATATAATCCCAAATTAAAGATTATTCCACTTTGTGAAATTTTGAAAAGATGAGGAATCATTTTGCTTTATGTTGCATATATTCTATACATTCACAGAGAGCTAATAAAAATTTGAAACTTTCAAGGCTCAAAGGGAAAATGTAGGCAGGAGATTTTGCACCTTCTATGTGATTATGCATTTTGATGAACAAAGAAAGGACATACTGTTTTTGTCCTCATGCTTTGGAAATGTTTTGGAGGAGTGAATAAGATAATGTATATAGACATCTTACTGGTCAGCAATAGTGATTGCATGAAGGTTGTCATGTGCATTTGTTATTAACATGGATTAGAGTATTAAGAATAAAAAGGAGGTGATTTTCCTGGTCCATGGTTCACCTTTAGACCTGGAAATGGATTAAAAAAAACTTTCTTGAAATGATGAATTTAGGGAGTCTGACATATGAATCATAGAGATTAGGAGCTCTAAAATATAATTTATATTTTTGCTAGGGAGGGATACAAGAAAATGCCAAAGATTTGCTGTTCACTTTGAAGCAGAAGGAATCATTCAGAATTTACTGACAAATCAGTTGTTGGGTGTTTGTTTTGGAAGTCTTTGTGAGGTGGCGTGGTTGGTTTGCCCAGTCCTTGTGCCGAAAGCTTCATAAGCTAATCAGAACATGAATATTTCATTAAGAAGGTGTAGCGATGTCTTGTGGTCATTAGGAATATCAGTGTGATTCTTCATAGGACTTTAAAGTGTGCAATACTTGGGTGAGCTTGCTGATAAAACCTGTGGAGAATGTGCCAGTTGAGTGATGTGTAAGCTTGATGTGGAACATGAGTATTTTTATTAAGGAGCAGGGAGAATTATTGAGAAATGTAAGTTCAGTTAAAGAATACACACAGAGGGAGAATAAAACCTTTTCAAGAAAAACACGCTCATACTTGTTATTACTGGGTGTTTCTGATGCAGGGCTCATTGATCTTGGAATGTAGTCACAGCTTGAACTGACAAAAATAGGAGAAGGAGATCAGTAGAAAGGTGTGTTTTTTACATCTCCTGGGATAAAGAGAAAATGAAAACATTCATTTACCTTTCACTGGAAAATATGATCCATGTGAAGTCTTAAGTTTTTTTCTCATTCCTGCAGGTGAAGCTGATATAGTATCTTTTCCAAATAAATATTGTGGTTTTCCATTTTTTAGAAAGATTATTGCAGTTATTATATTACATCTATTTTTTGTTAAACGTTTGCTATTATTACATCCATTTTTTGTTAAATGTTTTACTTGATCTCAGAAAATGCTCATTTCTCTTTTACCTGGGAAATCATGAAAATAACGAGATGTTGCATTTTGATTAGCAAATGTATTAATATAATGATTAATTACCAGTAGCAGTATGCTTGGTAAAAAATTAAAGAATTTATGTTTCTGAACATAAAAAAATCCAACTTAAAGCAGTCTCAGTAGCTGGACAGATGTCATGAAAGACTCCAGAGGAAAGCAATGTTATAATTGCTCATCATTCTCACAAATCACAGGTGGGTGAGCCCAAGGAATGAGTCACAGGGGCTACCTGCAACAGTATTGCTTGTTATACAGAGGCAGGCAGCAAAAGGTGAGGCGTATAGTGGGGATTGGATGACTCAGGGGAATAATAATAGGAGAGTTTCATCTGTCATTAGTTTTGATCTTTTCCAGTTGAGTAATGAGTTGTTAACATCTGATGACTTCTCAGAGCTGCAGGTGAAATTACTTGATTGGTTTATCCACTTCAGTACTGGAGATTACCAACCTGAAGCACAAAGTGAAATAGAAAGCCCTCTTGGTTTGACAAGAAGCAAAAGCCACAATGCATAACACTTCCATCATCTGGTGCCTTTGGAGCAAAGTAGTATTGCATTATAGGTAAATAAAAGGTTTTTGGAATTTCTGGTTTTAAGAGATTTTTGAGAGTAAATGAACCATTTTGGACAATCTAGGATTCCCAGATACCAAGTCTTGAATTTTATAGACTTTGTTTTTAACTTCTGTTTCTCCCATGCTGGGTTGATGACAGGTTCCTACGTTGTTGTTCTATCTATTTCTTCATCTCTCTTTTCTTGCATTGTCCTAGTGTGATTAAATGATAGAATCATTGCTGATTTCTTTGTTCTAAATGAGCCTCTTGTTACTTGCAAACCAAGCTTTCAGAGTTAAAACTGCAAGCTCACTGCCTTGATGAGGTTCCACTCTTAGTGAATGCTTTGATGAAAAGCTTGCTGTCAGTTCAGCAGGGACAAAAGCTGGATCATTTCCTCTCCTGTGCCCTCTCAGATGAGCAGATTGGAGCAGGAACTTGCCATGTTTACTGTTTCACTTTTCAAAGCAGAATTTTGAGAACAAAAAGTTAATAAGCCTCTATTCCCAACTGAATAGTTTGTTTGAAGTTCTACCACCAGTCTCTTGCATTTGTAATTTTTTCATAGTGACTGATTTGCGTTCAAATGTTCATAATCTTTTCAGAGTGGATATTTATTTGTTTATGATTTTTAGTCATGAGTAGAAGAGATTGACTAAGTGGAGCCATAAGATAGGACACACAGTAATTTCCAAGTACTGACATAATTAATGACTGATTAATGACTGGTGGTTTTTATGCCTTACAGAAAACCAAAGTGGATTTTTGAGTGCTGCCTGCATCCCTTCACCTTCTGTTTCTGTTTGTTTGCCTGTCTTGGC